ACACACACACACACACACACACACACACACACACACACACACACACACACACACTCACACACATATAATCCTTCTCTGGTTAGTGTGAGATGTTGTCTTTAAAAGTATGTGCTGACGCTGTACAGAAGACCTGCTGACAGAGCTTCCGGCATGCAAGATCAACTAAATTTTACAGCTCATTTCCCACAGCTCCATTCATTGTTATTAAGTTCCTGCCTCAGTGCGATGCTGCCAACACTTCAGCATCTCCCATGATTTCACTGAGTGATCTCACTGGGTCATCTGACTGCTTCATGTGACCACAGTCTTGTGAGGAGATGTTTTTAATGCAATGTTTGTGAGATGCTCTCAGTCTGTTTCAGGCCGGTTTTATTAAATAAGAGCCGGCTCTGCTGTGCATTTATTTAATTTAAGTCAGAAACAGCTGTGCAGTCTCTGCTGAGATTGCTTCGGCTCATATGCTGCACAATGATTATTAATGACATATTTCTGGTCTCCATTACCTCAATAACAAGCAGTTCATTAATGACAGATGCTGCCTGAATGCTGATGGTATCTGACACTTGCAGTAAATGCAAACTCATAATTGGATAAGGCATTTTACATATAGAGAAAGAGAGAAATGGATGTGATGCAGGTTTTATTGCCGCTTCTGAAGGTTTTTGTCCTTGTTTTTGTGTGTTTGCTGTGTTAACAAAATACCTTATGGATCACTGACTGGATTTGAAAGATGCTCTCTGAAGTAAACAGTGAATGTACATTTACAATTAAATAACTAACTCTCTACAGCATGAAAGTCATTTTCATGGTTTAACCAAAGTGGCTTTATCTCAAATGATATGCTCAAATGATAGTTTAAAAAATTGTCATGAAAAGCACCAAGTCATGAACATTTCTTTAAGAAAATCTTTGTATTTTAAAATATATTATTATTATTGTTTTACCGATGGGCATTTAACTGTTTGTATGTTGGCTCAATAGTAACCTGTTTATTGAGTTTTATCATTTCCAGCTGCCCTTTCTTGAAATGACAAAAACAGCCTGAGCTTTGCAGCATCTTAATAAAATACACATATTATTACTTCTCCCCTTACTTTTGATTTGCCATGCATTCTTGTGACGATGAAAGTTTTGCAGACCATGCCAAAGGGAGGAATTCACTCCCACACAAAAGGCCTATACAGCTGGAAATGCCTGTTTTGTAGTCCAGGCTTTTCTTCTGTTACTTGTCCAGATCACCGTGTAATGGATTTGCATAATGGTGGCTCAGCTGCTAAATTAGCATAAAACACTCCTCCATTCTGGGCCATTCAACTGACCAATCAGAGCAATAAGATCATTTGTGAGAGGCTGAGGACTCATACTCCAGACAAATGATCAGGTCCGACCATGGATGAACTTTGTTCTGTTGTTAAAATTGTCACTTTAGTTTATCTCTGGTGTTTAATTTAGTTGGAGCCAAACTATTTACATTATTTTCATTTTTTTGTTAATTTAATAAAACCTTGATTGATTATACTAAATGAATACCAGTATCTTGTGATGAACTTGCGACCCGTCCAGGGTGTACCCCGCCCCTCGCACAGTGATTGCTGGACATAGGCACCGGCGACCCCCGTGACCCAAAATGGAAGAAGCGGGTAAAGATAATGGATGGATGGATGGATGGATGGATGGATGGATGGATGGATGGATGGATGGATGGATGGATGGATGGATGGATGGATGGATGGATGGATGAATACCAGTATCAAGATTGTGACACCACTACTTTGATGACCCACATGAGTTTTATTTTTGCTTATAAAACCTCCTCATTTAGTTGCAGGTTTGATGTACAGGTATGCCTGAAGTAATTCTGCTTGGAGTTTTATGTGTTCTTCCAGCACATATGTTGGTTTTCTCTGGTGTGTTTGTCTCTAGTTGCAGCAAAGGCATAATATTGCAAAATTAATAAATAAATTAATTAATTTAACTAAAGCATCCAATTCTAAAGATGTAGACCCACGAAACAAGATAACTTTTAAAGGAGCAAATAATTTGCTTAAGGAAAAGGCAGGTGAAGATTCTCAGTCATCCAGGACACCGTAGCCTTTGCAAATTGAATCAAAGGCTTCTGGACTTTTTGTTTCTTGGAAACGTTTTGCTTCTCATCCAAGGAGCATTCTAAATCCAATTCAGCTGTGAATCGTCTTTAATTCAGTTTGTTAGGATTGTTAAAGAAAAACCAATAGTTTTGTTTATTTTATTTCATTGCTCTCCTAAGGATGTTTTAAAATTCTGTTGCAGCTAAAATGAAGATTACCTAAATGGGAAATAAAATTAGACTTTTTTTTAATAAAGTCATTATGAATCTCAGTGAAATTGATCATTTGAACCTCATTAATTAATTAGAGAAATTACATTTCCTATGAAAAATGCAGTGTAAGTACTTGTTGCTGAACAACTTGCTGAATAACAGCTGAAGTTAGCTAAAAAAAATGCAGAAATGTAGCTGAAATGGAAAAACAAGCCCAAATTAACAGAAAAAAGCAGAAAGAACACATATTTGCAGAATTAGGCTTAAATAAGCAGAAATGAGTACAAAAATTAAGAAATTGTGGTAGCTAAAAAAGCTGAAATTAGCACAAGATAGCTGAAAAGTTGCTGAAAAGGCAGAAAGAAGCTTAAATTACCAGAAGGATATGGAAGTAACTGAAATTAGCTAAAAAAAAAAAAGTGGAATTGGCTGAAAAAAGCTAAATTTAGCACAAAACAGTTAAATAGTAGCTGAAATAGCAAAAAAAAAAAAAAAAAGAAACTAGAAGAAAAAAATCTTAAAGGAGCATAACAAGCTGAAATTAGCAGAAAGAAATTAAGCTGAAAGTAGCAGAAATTACTATGAAAAACTTGAATTTATCTGAAAACAGCTGAAATTAGAGGAAAAATGCTGAAAAGGTAGAACAAATTAGCTGAAGAAAGCAGAAAGAATATGTTTGCTGAAAGAAGCAGAAATGAGCATAAAAAAGTGAAAATTATCTGAAAACAACTGAAATTTGCTAAAAAAAAAAATAAACAGCTGAAAAGTAGCTTAAAAAGCAGAAAAAAGTTTTATGAGAAGGACGTGGAGAGAGCACATTTTTGCAGAATTAGGCTGAAAAAGTTGAGTGCAAAAAAAGTGGAAGTAGCTGATACAGCTAAAATTAGTATAAAACAGCAAAATAGTAGCTGAAATCTCGGAAAAAGCTGAAACTAGCAGAAATAAGCTGAAAGTAGCATAACAAGCTGAAATTAGCTGAAAGAAGTTAGAAGAAGCATAAAAATGTTGTAGTAACAGAAAGAAACTGAAAGGAACACAACACATTTGATAAAGATAAGATAAGATAAGATGGAACTTTTGTGATCCTGCAGGAAATGGTTGAAAACAAATTAAATTTGCTGAAAGTAGCTGAAAAATGTTTGAATTTTCACAAGGAAGCTAAAAGAAGCTGAACCAGAGCAACATGTGAAAGGAGCAGTAAAAGGTTGTAAACAGATCTAAAGATCTGACAGATGTAAAATGAGCTCAATTTATTTTCTATGAGAAAAAAATGGCAGAAAAGGCTAAATATTTCAAACAGCTAAAGTTGCACCAAAACCAAAAGTCAAAGCAGGATTGTCCTGAAAGAGCTGAACATTTTTTTGATACATGATTTGTTGAAATAGCACAAAATTGTGGAACGAGAAAGATGCTGAAAAATGTACGAAAGCAAAATGGATCAATGATCATCAGCGCTTCATGAGTGTTCAAAATGTTGTGATAAAGGCAAAGTCGAGACTCGCCTCGCCTGTCTACAGCACGAACGAGACATTTACAACCACAGCTAAATATTTCTCAGAATCAACAGGTTCAAGCTACATTTAAAAAAAAAAAAAGCTTTCCGTTTATAATTTTCTTTGTATCCATTTAATTTGGGAGCAAAACCAGAAGAGTAAGAGACTTTGGTTCAACGTCACAGCTCCTGCTGCGTTCACATGCATTTTTATGTGACGCAGCTTCATGTATTTACATGTTATATGTTTCTTTCTGTGGCCGTATGTCCCAAAAGGGACAAAAGAAGTTAAGATGTTTATTTCTACATTTCTGGGCAGTGATTTGAGCATTTAAATCTAAATCCTTTGGTCACGCTGACAGTTTATTTTATTTGTTTCTCTTGTCCTCATTATTGAAGTATATTAAATGGCTGGAGTGTGCTAGTGGGGAAGAAAAGCCATCAGAAACTTAAAAGCACAGTTGGCTAGTTGTCTTGTGGCTTGATTCCTGCACAAAAACAAGCTTAGAAATAATTTTAATCCCCAGTCTTAAGTATTTCATGTTTTATTTCGCTTTCATTTACACTCCATATCACGTTTCCCCTGTCCTCCCCACGGAGACCCCACGATCTTCTCTAAAACTTGAGAAAGTGTGTCGAGCAACACAAACAGCTGTTACAACACAAAATGCATAACGTGTCAAAACAAAAACTCGCAAACACGACAACACAAACAAAACGTCAAATAGCACCAAGTTGGGACCGAACTTTACAGTATTTTGATAAAAAAAGACCAGACTGGTGTCCACACAGAGGAAGTCGAGTGTGCTTGTCAGCAGAAACTCGTAGCAGCATTTTCTTTAGCTATCATTTCTTCAAAACAAACATTTTTACATCAGAACAATGCAGTCACTTCATATAAGTTAAAAAAAAAAGTTAAATTCCTAAATGTTTATAGTAAAAAATGCCCTTACAGAATAAATCACAAGGGAAATATTGTCAGGCTATACAAGCACATCTCATCCTGTTCTGCTGCATCAGGAGGCACTGGGGCAAAGGCCTCGCGAGAGATGATTTTTACCAGTTCATTTGAGTCCGTGCAGATATCATCTGGAGAGAGAGAGGACAGAAACAGGAAGACACTTGAGACTAATTAAAAGCACACACACAGTGAGTCTGTCCTTCAAGAACTGCAGCTCAGTCGCTACTGGTCTCCATTTTGGTTGGTTTCTTTGGACGTGCAGTCTTTGACCTCTCCCTTCAGCTCAGCGAGCTGCGCCGAGTGAACGGTCAGAGTGCCGTTCACCTGGGCCAGGTACTCGTCCGAGTGTCTCTCCAGCTCTGCCCTGATTCGCTCCAGGTGCTCCACCAGCTCCCCCAGGTTGCTGCACTGGCTCTCCACCTGGCTCACCCTGCTGCCAACATCTCTCATCTCTTTGTGCACTTCCACGGCTGTGCTGCGGCAGCCATGCAGCCCCCCCAACAACTGTCTCTTCAAGGCTACCAGCTCTCCCTTCAGCTGTGCCAGTCGCCTCTCGCCCGCTCCGAGGAGGGAGGCTTGATGCCCGACGAGTTTGGTGATCCCTTGCACTTGGTTGACCAGATGATGCTCCCTCGCCTCCCACGATGAGTTAGCGTGGCTCACCTCAGTTGAAATAAAACTGATGGAGTCTTTCAGGCCCTTCAAAGTGCGGTTCACAGAGTTGATGTTGACCTTTAGGAGTGTGATCTCTCCCTGGACGGAGCCCTCTGAGTCCTCCTGTGCGATCCGGACCAACAGGTTGTGCAGGGTGTTGTTAATATGGTCCAGCTGGTTGGAATGGGAGTCCAAACGATCGATCATCTTCTTTTCCATTCCATCACACTCCTCGTCTACCACAGTACCTTCAACTCCACCTTCTGGAGGGGCGGAGGGTGCACATGAGGAGGTGCAGAGGAGCTCCAGGTCCATTAGCTGTTTGTGAATTCCACTCAGGTCTCCCTCGACCCTCCTCCTAACAGACTCGATCTCTGTCTCCAGTGCAGGGACCACCTGGCCCTCCAGAAGAGCTGGAACAGTGGCGTTACTTAGTTCCTCCACAGCCACAAACACTCTGTCCTCGAGGGTCTTCAGCTTGTCTTCCAGCAAAGTTTTGAAGCCGTCCAGAGAACCAGGAAGCCCTGCAGCTCCATCAGATCCAACAGTGGTGGCATTGAGTCTGTCCTCGATGTCCACCAGACGGGTCTCAATTATAGTATCTACTTGAAAGCCTTGTTCGGTGATAGCTCTCTGAAGCTGCCTCTGAGATTCAGTCAGGTCCTTGACCAGTTCTTCCAGCAGCAGCATGCGCTGAGACAGGCTGTCCACCTGTAATTATCAATAATTTAACCCATTAGTCACTCAACAGAACATCCAGTTGCATGGCATTATGTAGTTTCAGGGCATGAACCTAAAGAAAGCAGTTTTATAGTTTGGTATTTTTGGAAATACAGTTCTACTTTCTTTATAAAACTTAGATGAGCAGGTCAAAGGATTTTTAATGGGTTTTTAACTAAAGATAAATAAATGGTTCACTTAAATCAAGAAATAAGAGGAAACAAATTTCTTACATCTAATTTACTGTATTTTCCGGCGTATAAGTCGCATCAGTCAAAAAAAAAACATCATGACGAGGGAAAAAACATATAAGTCGCATTTATTATGAGTTTATTTAATGGTCAAAACAACTGCATTTCGCCTGGATAGCACGGCTCCATCCATCCATCCATCCATCCATCCATCCATCCATCCATCCATCC